ATAAATCTACTAATATCCTCTTCCCAAACTTTCATTTATTTATTTTTAGAGATTCAACTTCTTGGATTCTGTTATGAAATAACAGAAGGAATCAGTCTAAATTACTAGGAGTAGAAAAACAGTTCAACTGACCGTTGTTACAATAAATGATGAACAATGAAAACCAGCATTTTTTCTTTCCCAAGTTTAGTATCAAATTAACAATTCAAAGATATTGTAAATACTGACGGTAATATTAAAGCATCTTATATTGAATATGTAGTAATATAAGAAACTATATGCTACAAGCTATTTTTGTTTAATAAGCAGCTTCCTTGTTGTCTCATTCTGTCACAGAACTTCATGAATAAGCCTTTGATAACCAGCTGCCAATGCAAGTGCCTTTTGGTTTCTATTATCTCAGTGATCTCCTTGAAAAATTAAAAGATGAGTAATTCATTCTCTGGCTAGAGACTTTTGTCTTACAGTTTTCTTAAAACAAATCATTTCTGTTGTATCAATCCAAATGTAGTGGTGAGCTACATAATTTTTAATGAGCGGTCCTGGAGGAAATGGAGTCTCTTTTTATTTTCAAAATTGCAATTGACTTAAAACATCCGCATCTAATTCTGCTCTTAATTAGCTTTTTCTAGTGTTACTCTGCTGGCTTTTGTGCAGTGGCTCCACAACATGACCAGTGAAAAAAACAGAGGATGGAGAGGGAACAGAGAGAGCTTGATTTCCCTCAGGTTGAAATTCTTCCAGGACCCTACAGAATCATTGCCTATATTTATCACAATTTGGCTGTGCCTATTTTTTACTCCATTTTCCAAGGCCCTCCTCAAAAAAAAATTTCACTTTTTAACTGGTTTGTCACTCCACTGGATCTCTCAGACTTTTGGTTCAGCTTTCAAGAATCCAATTGTAATCAGTCTCAACTGTTTTCAATTCTCGTGAAAAAATATCCAATTCTTTTTGTATGACTCATGCCTATCTGTATTTATGCTTCTATATTGCAATACAACTCAAAAAAATGTAACAACATAAGCAGGGGATTGCACTCCATCTCTCTCAGCACACAGCCAGGTTTCTATTCCTGCTCATTTTCCTTCTCTCCCTTAGGATGTCCATTTTTAAAAAGTAGTATTTTTATATATTCTGAAGAAGATATACTACCCACTACCTGAAAAGAAAATGACATCAGAAGCCAAATGAAAATACACAAATCCATGTTTGAAAAGGACATTTTCTAATGGTCAGAATGTGACACTACATTAAGACCCTGCCTCCTGGTTCATCTCCTGGCTTAGGTTTGCTGTCTATGAAACTGGTTTCATTTTTTAAAAATTAATTTATTCATGTTATACCTACACTGAAGTGAGTTTACAGTATTAGAAAGAAAAATCCATGTTTTGGTGAGAAAAAAGTCACTGAAGTTGTGAAATCAAGCATTGAACTAGGACCTGCCAGAAATCACCGAACACCCATCTCCCATTGTGAATTTTCCTTGTGACACTCTCTTTAATTAGAGGATTCACACTCACTTGCTTGGACCCTGAGTTTGATTAAAACAGCAGCAGGAAAAGGAAGGGACCAGTTTTGGGCAATTGTTTTTATCTGACTTAACTCTGTGTGGAAGTGAAGACAATACTACTATATATGCAATGTTGGCTGATCCTAACAGCGAGTATTGCTTGCTGGTGGCAATTTTCAGCCTTTATAACTTCAAAAAAATACTAACAGACGCTATGGTGATGGCAGAAAGTGCCTCCTTACCCCCTAGGAATAACTGCCAAATTTGAAGTCCTGCTAAAAACTGTGGACGCTTCAGAGCTCTTTAAACAATAATGTTTCAGACAACATCTTGGTGCTATCCAAAGCAGAGAACAAAACAAATCCAGATTAACACATTAGAAGTAGGAAACAGGGAATATTAGAACCTGTCTTGTTTCCTAGAAACTGCTGCCAGGAGCCTAGGTGACCCTTAGGAAGCTCCCTAAAACACTGGTGAGCTTTTCTGAAGTTCAACACATCATCTAGTTTTCACTTTACCAAATGCATCTACAAAAATGTATACTTTCATGAGGAAGGGAGTACTGCCAGAGAAGGACATCCCTGCTTTTATGCTTGAGGACTGTTAACTTCATCTGCAAGAAATGCTGAGTCCTTTCAAAGGATTATTTTTTAGATTTCCCAAACAATCTTTTTCCATGTAGCAGCTGACCCACTGCAGTCACCTTCACTGCTGTATCAGCTACCCAACTTCAGGGATGGCACCAGCAACACTGGGAATCCCAACAGAATCAGTGGTGGGATTCAGGTGGGCTTCAAGGGGACTCATGGTAGGAATCTACACAAGTCATGAGACAACTGCAGAGGACTTGCAGAGAGGGTCGCTGTCATACTCATCTCTCTGACTTACACAAGAAGAAGGGTTCACCCACCTGGTAAATTGCCGACTTTCCTCATGTACTTCCATTTCTGTGCTTTTAAATTCATTCAGTTCTTTCCGTATTGCTGCCTAATAAACAATAATGATATACGCAACCATAAGAAATATGAATCTTACAGAAAGTAGAGTCTGAGAAGAACCTGGCCCTACTCTTGCAGGCTCCCTTACAGTTCCCATTTTCCAGTCTCCCTTACTGTAATCCACCGCTCTTACACATTTCTCATCATCAACATGAATGACTTTTTTCAATTACAGCTATCTGAAGCAGTAATACACTAGAAGGACACCCAAAGCATCAACCACCAACAATAAACAAAGAAACACCAAAGCTACTGCAATGGGTGAACCAACCCCCCACCGAAATATGCCACTTGCTACAGACAAAAACGGGCAAGGGATGGGGTTACCTCAACAGTCACCTGCTGAGTATGCAACCCCGAGGGGACTGCATCTCCAGGCGCAGCCCCTGAGGAGCTGGTGATTCACGCTGCCTGCACAGGCACTGTACACACAGCAGGGGCCTTGTAGCTCCCCACTGAAGACACGAACTCGGGAATGCAAGATGAAGAGCATTTTTTTTAAGTGGAATTAGTCACTTGGTTTGATTAGTTTTATGTGAACTTAGATGAAATATTCAGACATTTCAGGCTTGTGTTTTCAGTTGGCAGATACTAAAGAACAGCAGAAATTCAGTGCACTTCGTAAATGCCTCGTTGCTTATGTTAAAAGGGTGATAAGCAATTTACTTCATCAGGTAATATATACAATTTCTGAAATATTCTAATATATACTGCAAGGGCTTTTCTTTCTATGCCATACGCTTTCCTACCTTCAGTGTGAAATGAAATGACAATTTATCCTTACTCACTCTTTTCTTTCACCATTTTAAATAAAAGCAGTATCATTTCATTACTGCCTAAAGAAATCTCATCTGGTGTGCATACCTTTCAATGCAGAGCAGACAAGCAGCATGATAAAATTATAGCATCACCAGACTGCAGTCTCATAAATGAGAACCTTCATTTTAAGCAGGGGATGGTTCCGTTCAGCCACAACAGCTTGCTTACATGAGGCTGCTGTAATAGCTAGGAAAGAACTGGCTATTTCTGAGCACCAAACCAGCAGCAAAGACACCAGAGCCCCAGCTCCGTAATATAGTTACAGTACAATTTTCTGCTCCCACTGGAATTAGAAAAATTACTTCCTTGGGGAAAAATGGGCAAGGGAGTTTCCAGGCAACCCAGGGTCTGCCTTTCTGCTGAGGCCAACAATCATGGGGATCACAGAACCAGCCTTGGGCACCTGTTCATTACAAAATGAATCGAGATTAAAACCTGCTACCCTAAAGTAGGTAGGAAACTCCAGTGGTTTTTCTACTGCAGTTTACCCTGGTTGGACCTAGGTGAAAGTGGATGTGCTGGGTGCTCTAACCTCCCACAGACTATGTGAGGACTAGAGAGTGCTCAGCACCTCCCAAAACCAACACCTACAAACACTTCACGGTACATTTTTAATATCTGCTACTTGACTTGATACAAGAGTCTCCTTTGATTGTCAGATGAGCTGGCATTAATATTAAAATTAAAATTAAAACCAAGCTGAAATAAAATCAGTACTTCGCAGTCCTTAGCTAAAAGACAGTGGGTTCTTGTACATATCACTTTTCATGCCAAGCACGTCTCATAGGATTTCCATAAAAGTTGGTTCAGACCCAGTGCTAAAAGGGCCAGCACTTTTTGATACATAAATCCTACAGCTTTCCTTTTATGAAGCTGTATAGGAGGGAAATGAAAGAGTATTTTATGGCAACCTTTGACTGATCTGTTTTTTAAAAGGGAACCACAGAATTATTTGTCTCATCTTTTGTAGTTAGGCAGAGGAACTATTAACTGCAGCATGCTGGGGGCAAACTTCCCAAGAAGGTGTGCTGCACGCATACGGTCAGCTCCTGCACTGACGGCTGTGGCCAAGAATGCTTAGGAGGATGGAGAAGCTTCTACCTTTTTTCACTTGAATGGATTGCAAAAGCAACTCTCGGTGGCAGTGACACAGGCTTCTGCCTGCAGAAACCTTGCCTGAATTCCATGGGTCGTGGCCATCTTTGCTAACAGCGTGTGCCTGGCTTAGCAAGGCTTTAAAAATGCAAGAAATTCTGGCCTGAACTGCCATAACAGAGGTGGCAAATACGCTCTTAAGAGGCACCTGAGTGGATTTTCTTAGCTGCAAGCAGTAGATGCAAAGCAGTACCACGACAATCTCACTGCCTCCAGCAGATGTCATTCGTGATGCTGGCATCAAGAGAATATAAACCAGAGGAAACCCCCCGCAAAAGTGGCAGATGCAAGCGTTTTCTTATAATCTACATTTGCCCCTTGCCTTGTCTGCGGGAGTTAACCTGGCCCAAGGCTTGTCGGCACGACGGTCATAATCTGGAGAATCCGTGACCTCCACGTACTCGTTAAATCGAAGGATTCTTCTTGCTTGAAGTTCAGCCACTGTAGGCCTCAGGCTGAGCTGTAAGCAGGAGACAGAAAATAGTACGTTTAATAAGATGAAATAAAATAAAATAAAAGCCAAGGGTATGATGTAATCTCAAGAGAACTCTAATGGTATTTCTAAACAGGGTCACTTTCAGGTGTCTAAAAAAAGGCACCATCCTGGGAGCGCTGCACGGGAATGGGGAAGAAGCGCAACCTAATTTCTCCAATTATAAAAATAGTCTGTGTCGGGCAGGTCACAGAGAATCATGACAGTTATCCCTGGAATATTAATTGTGACTTTGCAACTGTCACACCATTTACCCCCCTAGGCAGTAGGTCCATTTGCATTAACAATTACACAGTCTGCTGTGTTCAACTATAATATTGAAAATAAGCAGGATTTGGAGATGCCTGCCTAACTACAATAATTGGTTTTGAACATCTGGGGGTCATTATGATGCCAAATTGTTTCAGTCACTTCAAACAATATTCACTTTAATTAACTAAGGACAATCATATTTAGGAAACTGTATTTTTGCAGAGGAGGGCAGACTAGGGATATGTATGAAAACTCCCCGCACCCTCTCCCAGAACGAGCTCCCGAAGTCAGGGCAGCAGATCCATAGCTGCTTTGTTTCCAGCGACAATAAGCGCAATCCCACCTGCAGCGGCCAAGGCCACTGACGTGGTTAGAAGAACGGTGAAGGGATTTCTCAGGGCCCACACTGCTTTGCTGCCCTCTCCGCTGCTCTAGGGAAGAGTGGATCTACAGGTGTGGCTGCCCTCCAACATACATGACAGCAGTGGTCATGCTTACAGAGGAAACGTGTCATTTCTCTCCCCTGCTTACAGGGACAAATATTAAGCATGGCCAGACTCTGTATGCTTTTCCAGGTATGTGAAACTAGACAGGATGGAGTCTCCCCCAAGATGGACTTGGCTTGTACTGCTTTTTAAACAGATTTCTAATCTGGGGGCATGACTGATGGACATTTGCAGTAATGTATACACACTGATTTTTAAAATCTTATAAAAAATAATCCTATGTACACAAATACACAATACAGAAAACACATCATCACCTTTCTACTGAGTCTACGTTTTATTTCTCTTTTGGCTTCCTGTTCCTCTTCTTCATTCTTCTCTGTTTTCAGAAGAGATAAAAAGGAGTGAATATTTAAGTATTATAACTGCACATACTGTATTTCTCTTGGCTGAAAGCTTCAGGACTTCAAGTCCTGGCTCATGTTTCCTTATATTTCTGGGTGATCCTGCACGTGTTGTCGGCTTTTTGGATTCTGTGTGCTCTCATTTCTTTGCCCTATCCTCATTTCCCCTGATTCTGTAGGCACCTCAAGTCACCACTGTGGGTCAGGAACACAGCAAAGAGGAGACGTCTGTCATTTCCTTTCTGTATAACATCAAACAAGAAGCACCCTGAAAGAGCTGCCTAAAGTTTCGGTTACTTGTCCAAATATTAAAATCACTGTTGCTTTTACTTCCAACATGCCACCTATTGACTTTAGAGTAAGAGTCTAATTATTCATAAGGGTCAAGAAAAAAGTTTGCTCTGAATGACTGAATCAGCCGAGTGTCTTCTACTGCTACAGGATGCAATAAATCAATGACAATTCGTTTCGCTGTCATTTGTTAGTGCAGATTGGTTTTGTTACTTTAATTTTTTTTTCTGATTTTATAATGTGGGCATATGATTCAGCATTCAAGCCCTCTTGGTAAAGGCCACTAGCTAGACCAAATGAACGAGTACAGCAGAAAATTACATGCACTTTTTGAATGTATTTGGACATGAGACTGAAATGCACTTTTAACAAATTTCTGTGCTAACCAAACTTGATTTCTTGAGTGACAGTGAAAAGCACACTTACAAAGGCATGTTCATATAGATTCAGCAGGTTTTTTAATTGATGTACATTTTGAAGAATATTATTTACCCTTTGGGTCCACCTCTGATGGTTATATACAAAGTTAACTTTGTTGTGGCTGAAATATCCCACCTAGAGATATCCATAAAATTCTGATCCCGTTTTATTCATGGTTGGGGGTTATGGACTCCACGTTGCAGTTCAAGGCTAACTATAAATTTAAAGAAATTAATTTGTCTATTGTGGATGCAGCCAACCTGTACAGATGAAAAGGCGGTTTTAAATGCTGGTATAGTCCGATTTGCCCCGCCTGCTATGGCCAGTCTGCTGTGTTAGTCTAGGCAACCTGGCCACAGAGGACCTTCTGTATCATGACTGACACACTGGAGAAACACTACGACAGGTCATCTCGTGGTACTTGCAGATTTTCTTTGCTGACCCAAAGGCTCTCACATAAGAATACAAGGGAAAGGCGAAGAGGAACAAATGATAAAGAACAAAAAGAAGAAAATTACAGTAGGAAAAAGGTAATGCCAGCCCAAGACCTCCTCTGTGAGAAGAGTCCAACACCAACTCCAGGTTTCCATCAGCAAGATGCAATCGCACAGGCTTGCTGCCAGGATTAAGTTGGATCTAGTGTCGATGGTGATTTTACTGAGATACTGAAATGTGAATGTGATTTATGGTTTATGAATAGTTTTCCTCTTAAATGGCGAAGAAATGGATGGCCTGTTTCCATAAAGGAACTGTAAACTGACTAAAACTGAAAAATGGAGAATTAAAGATTGATCTACATTTTAAAAATTTTTGTTACTATATCTATCAATAAACAAGTTGGGTGTATTTAAGGACTTCTGACTTCAAATGAGAACTCTTTTTATAACATCTTCACCTAACAAAATCAAAAGCTCTCTAGCTGTTTTAGGACAGGTAAATCATCTGTAGACTTTTGTTTAAACGTAACGTCTTTGCAATAAATAGACGTAGTAACTGAGGTAATTAACCACAAACTCTTAATTTGGGGTTCCATTCACCTGGGAATCATTTGACATAAAAAATTTTGTCCCTTCATTAACTGAGTCACTTAAGTCCTACCTCAGAAATTCAGTAGCAGACACAGCAGAAAAAAATGCAGCGGGATATACACATCACTCTACAGCCTTCTCCTTAATTTAGTTTGTAAAATACATTCTGCATTATTTGTATCTTGACATTTCTTTGCTATCTAAACCACCATGTCTCCTAAGAAGCAGAATAAGATGCTTGATGTAAGAAATAGGGGCTCATGGTGCTTAATGCATACCTTAAGAAACAACTGCCAACAGCATGGCCACCTGAAATACTGTTTTTCTATATTCTGGGGGAGGATAAAGTAACTCAAAAAAGTTGATCTGGACATTTTGGAAGGTTGAAGGTTAGCTGCCTATCCCCAAGCTGTGAAGCTACCTCCCTGCGGGCTGCGGACTCCGAGCACAGATGAGTGCACGAAGGGATGGCTGGACATGGGAAACCACCTAGAAATGGGAGATGAGCAAGGCCATCATCTTAGCTGCTGGACTGAGAGTCCAGGCAGGCCCTGGAGGAGGCTGGTGAGGAGGGCTGGAAGCCCACCTTTCAGAGGACAGCTCTAACAGGAGGCACCAGGAGCTTCCTTCACTCCCGGGCAAAGCAGGTGGGGATCGAACCCGTGGGGAACAGTCTTCTGCATGAGAGATCAGGGGGCAGGACGCGGTTTATGTATGTTCAGGTGGGTTTACTTCTAGGAATAAAACTCAAGAGCTAACAGAAAGGGACTGAAATCTAGTGGCTGCTGCTAATACATTGAATCCACTGTTTGGCAAACGGCCTTCCGTTTATGGCACTGACTCCTACCTAAAGCACCTATTTCCCATCTCCAGCCTGCTGGGCAGAGTGTTGCTTTAAGCCCGGTGCTACAGAAACACTGCCCTGATACAAATTCCTACCAACAGGAACACCTACAGTGTATTTTTGCTCTTTTAAGTTAAAAGTTTTGAAAGTTGCTGTAGTGAGTTAAGAAGCTGTGTGGTGCTAAAAATAATGGGTTCGGTGCTCCTGCTTCCTTCAGGTGTTGTGGAAAATTCCAGCCGGAGGGCCACATTTTGGCTGCAGGTATGAACTGACTCGCTTGCCCAAACAGGAACACATTAATGCATAGGAACACACTTCTGCCTGCTTTCCACCTTAAAAGCAGATCTAATCTGTGTGATGTGGAGAAAGCAAATATAAACACAGCGTTCCCAGCTGCAAGTCCCCTCCTCAGATGTCCTGCTGCTGCCGTATTGGCAAAGGACCAGCCCAGCGAGCGCCCTTTGCTTGCACGAGTCTCCAGTTAGATCCCAGCAAAACTATGGTTTCTCTCCTTCCCTGCCTGCAGCTCCTAGGAGGTCAAACTGGGATTTGACTCCTAATTGAAACAATTTTGTTGAGCATTACTTATCGTGGCCTTTGAGTTAAAAAAACCGCTGGTCAAAGCAGAACAAGCAGCTTCCCTGGCATCTATACGTTATTGCTCCTGCAACTCCTGCTCTATTAAATCTGGTCACTTTCTGTTCTGTGGGACGTTTGTTTTGTAGCAGAAGGGGAAAAGAGAAGAGAGAAATTGTTCTGCCTGAGGACTGCTCTGTTCTTGACCAGAAAGAACTCCCGGAGTGTAAAACCTAACTTTCCATTGTGTCCCGATGGGATTAGCTATGTTTAGACTTCTCTGTGG